GGAGCCCGATGCGGGACTCGATCCCGGGACTCCAGGATCATGACCTGAGCCGAAGGCAGTCGCTTAACCAACTGAGCCACCCAGGCGCCCAATGCTCTGTATTTTAAATTTTTTCCAAATCCAAAGTCTTTTTGGAAGCTACTTAATTAAATTAAAGGAGATTTTGCAGTAAATTTAAAGTAAATTAATTTTCGTCATTAAAGTAAATTTTGCAGTAAGCTTTTTTTAGCCAGTTGCTGATGGCTAACTGCGAAAATAATTTAACAGATACTGCCACTCTGTTTACAATAATTAGGAGACACAAGGGTACCAATTCTTATAAAAGGTTTTCAAATTCTGGGAGTCTTCACTTCTTAGAGACATGGGATTAGTTTCATAAGCTCAGGGCCATTTTTTTTTTCTTTCTATATATGAAATGCAACCCAACTCCATTCTATTATTCCTCAATTCATAGTGTTCCAGAAGTTCACTTGCAAGTACATACTTTGGCACAAGGGACTCTTTTCCCTGAAGCAATTCTGTTATACCTAGTAACAGACGCCACCTGAGCCAGCCTCCAGCTAGATACCATGCATATTTTGCCAGATTTAATTTTCACAATTATTTGGCAAGGCAGGCATTAATAGGCCACAGTCTTTTACCTTAAAACCTGTTTCAGTTTTCAGCATATTTTTAATTTAGAAAATAATATGGTATGGATAGTACATATTACAGAAAACCCCTAGTGGAGTCTAGGGCAGGCTCGGTTGCCAAACAGATGAATATTTCTACATCAAAGCATACTGATTTTCACACCAAGGCCGGGGGTGGGGGGTGGCCCGGGTGTGGGGACTCTATAAACAGCCTCATGTTGATTCAGGTTAAGATTTTACTGTGTGAGGTCAAGTTAGATCAGGTTCGTTTTTTTTTTTAACTGGCTCCCTGAATTCTGTAGATTTCCTCATTGTGGCTAAGGGCATGCGGAGCTGTATTCTCACGTTCTAGGAGAAATAGGCCCATGAGAGCCAAGCCACTCAGCCGAAGTAGGTGGGATCCAAATCCAGGTCTCTCCAGCGGCAAGCCCTGCCCTCTGCGTCACAGCCTACAGCCTCACAAGGGAAGGATGCTTATGTCATCCCCTAAACCAGCTAAACCATAGCAATGACAGCCTGCCACAGACTCTAACCACGGAGTAAAATGGCATTCTTAGGAGAAACATCTATCCAGGGTTCAACAGCGACACTTCCCAACTTGCCCCCCGTCTTCCCAAGTCAAGGAAAGAGCTGATCCAGCGTGCTAGGCCTTGGCAAGGGAACTCTGCCAGCTCTGAGGCTCGGGGGCGAGCCAGGCAGGGTGGAGGCCTGAAGATGTGAAGGGAAAGGTGAAAGATCAGCCTCTGAAGGCAGGAGTGGCGAGCAGAGCTTTAAAGGAGCCGGGAGGAGTGAGAGTATGAGGTAGTGATGTCCAAGGGTAAGGCGGGGGGCTAAGGACTCAAGCAAGGAATGGCCAGTGTGGACTGGAGGGAGGTGAGAAACTGCAGTAGACAAGGGTCTGTTTGCTGTTGTTTTTCCTCCACAAATGAAAACCAGTGCTAGGAGGAGGGGAGCAATGGGAGCACAATGGCTTTCTTTGCTCTTTCCACTCTTCCTGCCCTTTCCGTCCAGCCAACCCCTATGCCGTCAAGCA